ATATATATATATATAAATTTTTAATGCAGTTGCCTTCACCTAAATGTTAGTTTCTTGTTCAGAAATGACCCACCTCTCCAGGAAAGCTGGTCTCTCTGGCAGGGGGACTGGAGCAGAACTTGGAGAGCTGTCAATCAGCGAGGATAAGCCCGCCCCCTCCCGAAAGGTCAAAGGATCCAGTAAGGAGGTGGAGGAGTAAGACGAGCCCGGAGCTGCCAGCCGAGAGGAATAKGATGCTGCTTGATGTGGGGAGGAGGAAGAGGATGATGGGGAGGAAAGGAGGGGTCCCAGGAGTCCGGCAGACCGGCGTAAGGACACGGACAGAGGGGGAGGGGGAGGCAGGATGACGGGTGTGGAGGACAGAGGAGGCACCAGGGGGAGCGGGGAGGAGGAGCGAGAGCCTGGCTGGGAAAAGGCGTGGTCTCTGGGTGGGATCTGAGGGGGCGCGTCGTCCTCGTCGCCCAGTGAAATGGAGCTGGAGCGGGCCTGCTGGCGGGCCGAGCGGGAGGCCAAGCTGTGTTTGGAGGGGCGCAGGGGGGGCACGGGGCTGCGGGGGGGCAGCACAGGCAGGTCCTCAAAGCAGGAGGTGAAGGAGGAGGAGGAGGTGGACGAGGGGGAAGGAGGAGGCAGGCAGATCTGCCGGTGGGGGCCCAAGGGCACAAGAGGCATGGGAGTCGGAGAGGAGGGGAGGGAGCAACCTGTTGTCATGGGAACCTGAAGCTTGACCATCACCTGTCAACAACAGAAACCAAAATCTGTCAAATCGGCTGTAAACGCCAAGGAAACCTGTTTGTGCTCGTTCACCTCTCTCTGCAGCTCCTGGAAGAGGTCAGCTGACTGAGACTCACTCCTGCCCGCCATGCCGCTCACCGCAGCAGCCACGGCTTCTTCATCTGAGCCCCGATTGATGGAGCGCACCTCCTGATCTTCTGACTGCTCCTCAGCGTCTGCAGTGACCTCGTCGTAGGCTGGCTGAGGGAGAGGCCAGTCCAGGATGGATGGAGTGTCCTGAGTTAGACAGCCAGGGATACGAGCAGTTAAAACAGACAAATGTCCACAACAGAGTCTGAAAAATATGTAAAAATAAAATCTAAATACTTGAAAGGAAAACAAAACTAAAAAAACAGCTGGTTTATCAAATATCCAAGTGGAGAACACTAAATTCTAAATTCAGTAATACTGTATATTGGCCTTTCATTGATGATTAATGTCATTAATCTAAGAATATAATTTTATAATGCATCATTTTTTACTGTTTGTTGTTGGAAATGGGTCCCTATAAGTGGCTTTAGAAGTGTCTCAAGTTACCACTRGTGACTGAATTCTCCTCTCCGTAGGTCTATGCAARTCAAGASGTGGGCTTCTTTCCAGARAGGCAGCTGAAGCCACCAACTAATGCCGGGTTTGTTGCCTTCAGCTGCCTGTCTGGAAAGAAGCCCACCTCTTGAMTTGCATAGACCTACGGAGAGGAGAATTCAGTCACGAGTGGTAACTTGAGACACTTCTAAAGCCACTTATAMAGACCCATTTCCAACAACAAACACTAATTGAAAAAGTCAGAGATGTCTACGTGTGATAGATAATGTGAGGGTTGTGCATACATTACTGTTGCTGTAATCAGCTAAAGACAGAACAGTCAATTAAATAGCAGAAACAACCATAACTCATGTATTATTTTCTCTTTTAACAGTAAAAAAGTGTCTTATTCATGTTTTTATTTCAGAGATCATAAAAAAWCAACCATGATTTTACAGTGATGCTCATCTACAGCTGAGCTTAATCCACAYGCTGTGGGGCTGAACTCCTCTGGAACCTCTTCAGTAGATTATCATGATCAATGAGCATCAYTCACCATAACGCTGCATCTGCTTGGGTCCATCCAGGTCAAAAGGTTATTATTGACATTTCCGGCCAAAGGCTGAGTCTTTAGAAAACATGGAAACTATTTGTGAGCAGAATGCTTGCTCTTTTTTTAGTTTATGTGATTAGATAACTCTTCATGTGTGGTTGTGTAAAGTCAATGATGTGGCTTTAAGATGATTTGCTTTTGTGTGTGAGGGGGTTTAAGGCTCAAACCTTCAGATTAGCCGTGACAAAAAGAATAGCGGATATTTTCTTTGTAGTGGGTAGCTAGCTAGTTCTGCTGGGGTTAAGGGTTTACTCATAAAGAAGGAACAGTTCTTTCCTCAAGCCTCAGCTTAATGAAGCATTTAACAGAACTGTCTCACATAAATTCAGTTCCCTTAGGGAAATTAAAACATATTTGTCCAGCATGGCATGCAGTGCAAGGGTCATGTGGCTAATAGGGGTTGAGCTAATGCTAACATGTTTACTACTGGTTTCTTCTAGGGTTGGGGCAAAATTGTATCGAATGCAATTAATTGTCAGACAAACTTTAACCGATTGTTTTTTGGCARTTGATTAATTTGATGCGATGAGACTGTCTGTAGATTTCAGTCTGCTTGGTGCTCCTCTCTTCTTCAAATATGACAAACATTTAAAAAAAAAAGTTCTGTAACTTATTTATCATAACTCCAGCTTTACCTGACCTATCAACTCAATTTAAAAACGGATGTATAGCCTGAAGTCTGTCCTTTTTACASAATGTGGAGCAGATTTTTATGGAGAGCAAATCTTTCCCACTACAGTGATTTAAATTGGACATGTGACCAGAGCATGCAGGGGTCTAGGGACTCCAGGGGATTAATCATCATCGGCTAAATACAGGGTTCCCACACCTTTGTCAACATCAAATTCAAGGACCTTTCAAGGACTTTCCAGTACCAATTTCTTCAAATTAAAGAACCACGCGCAATGGCAATTACCTGCTGTTACAGCAGAATGTTACCAATAAACAGGTTTAATACCATGTAAATTCAATGAAAAACTAAACAACATAGAAGTTGTTGAGTCAGAAACAGTGACGTCAGTTTACCGTAATCCTGTTATCCACCGCAACAAATTTAAGTTTATTTTAATTTTATTATTTATTTTTTTTAAAAGATTATGAAAATCAGTCATGTGAATTGAGAATTTCAATACCCAAAAAACATTCAAGGACTTTCAAGAACAAGTGTAATTTTTGGCTGTTTTCACAAACCTTCCAGGACCTTGAAATATTTTTTTTCAAATTCACAAACTTTCAAGGACCCATGAGAACCCTGCAAATACCACCAGTTAATCGTGATTTTTTTTTTGCCAGTATCGCTCAACCCTAGTTTGGCCACACAGGCAGGCAGTAGCTGNTTTAATTTTATTATTTATTTTTTTTAAAAGATTATGAAAATCAGTCATGTGAATTGAGAATTTCAATACCCAAAAAACATTCAAGGACTTTCAAGGACAAGTGTAATTTTTGGCTGTTTTCACAAACCTTCCAGGACCTTGAAATATTTTTTTCAAATTCATAAACTTTCAAGGACCCATGAGAACCCTGTAAATACCACCAGTTAATCGTGATTTTTTTTTTTGCCAGTATCGCTCAACCCTAGTTTGGCCACACAGGCAGGCAGTAGCTGTGTGCAACGCATTTTACACAACTCCATTGACATCCTGTTTTTTCTATCACTTTGGATTGAAAACTCTTAAGATTTAATTTCCTTGGTAACTGGAGCAGATTGAGTAAACAGAACCAGACATTCTTATCSTGACTTGGCAGAGACTATGTACTGGTCCTCAGTGAATTCATTTATGTTGTCTTTTACAAACCTTCACTGAACAAACAATGACATCTAAAGCTGTTTGTGTAAAGAGGGGCATCTTGTTCAAGAAAAGCTAAGAAAAGACAGTTTGAGCTTGTGTTGGTTAATTTTACAGATAGATTTTAGAAGACTGGGAGTCCTGGGGTGTTCATTTCTTTAAGTGGCCGATACAGTGAAGTCTCACTACCTTCAGGGTGTCTTCATCGGGTTGATGTGTCTCTGTTAGCGGGGAGGGAGTGGTCGAGCTGAAGCTGTCATCTGTGAAGTCGATAAGCGACACCTCGCTTTTAGCCGAGCGCACACCYGCCCCCTCCCATGGTCGGAGCTTCAGGCCCAGGGACACTCCCAGTTTTTTAAGCCCAGACGAACTGCTGACGTCATCGTCATCCTCGTAATCATCCATCACTGAGTCATATAACGGCTCTGCACACGTAAGCAAACAATGAAGTCGTGAAAGAGCATCGGCCACTATTTAAAGGCCAAACCATAGACAGCAGAAAGCAAAGAGGAAAACTCACTCTTGAGCAGGACAGCTGGCTGAGGTGGACGAGGAGGGGGCTTCTCTGTTAAGAACAGATTTTGTTCAGTTCTAACAGAAATATTAGATTACTTCTCTACATCGTCATTATTAAACAGAGTGGGAAAAAAATTACTCTTTGCACGGTTGGGTAGTTTGGTTGGCCTTGCAGTACCAGAGTCAAATCCCAGGACATCAGGAGGATCCATGGGGTTCCCCAAATACAAGCTGAAGAAAGAAAAACAAAATCCCTTTCATGCTAAAGTTTCTAAATGAAGATGTTTAAATGAYGTCTGAATCCATTTGTTGCTTATCACCACCCCCTTTCCTTTTAAACTAGAGTTGTATGAAATAAATACATTTTAGCTGTCATATAAAACCTCTGCTGTTATAAAAGCTGATCTGGACTTGAAGCTGTTCTGAGAGTTCATAGATATAAASGTCTGAAATTAAATTTGTTGAAGATGGAGCTCTGCTGCCCTCCAGTGGACAGCTGCAGTACAAAAGCAGTGTTAAAAGGACAGAACTCCAGATCAGAAATAAATTTAGTAAGGTATCTAAGTGTCTAAATAATATTGTAGGCACTTTATATCAAAGCTGCAGTAGGGAGTTCTGAGAAAACCGTGGACTTGGCCTGAAAATGTGCACAAACYCACCTTCCTTCATGCTCACTGCTGCAGTACAGACCTGCCTCCACAGCCTAAAGGAGCACTGGGGGGAGCAAGAGGAGCTTTATTTTTTTCACAGATTATCTGTCTCATATTCTACTGTCAGGACACAGTGACAGTTTTTAATAAATATCTAGAAAATATATTTTGAATAAAGGTTACCTACTGCAGCTTTAATCTTACACCTCTGTATTACACTGTGTATTGTTAACCTGTCTATTCGGTCGGCATGTCCCCAGCTCCTGTGAGGGTCTGTGTCTCCATGTCCAGTGTGGATAAAGGAATGCTTCAGGGGTCTGCTGATATCTTGGGCAGACAGACCGGCCACTGACGTCACAACATGACGAGGAAACTGACCGACACGCAGCGTCCGCCTGTTCTGGCCTCGCCACCAATAATGCTCTGCCCTGGAAGCACACAAATAAATYCATTTCAAACCAATGTCGTTGTTCGGGAATTCTTCTCTATTTTGTTTTCTTTTGGGAACCTACTAAAAAAGCTTTGCAGAACTAAACAGACCGAGTTATGAGACAGAACATTCTCACAAAGAAAGTTTTGTAGTTGTCAACAAGAGGGAGTTTGTTCTTATTCCTTGTGGGAATGAATGTCGTCCTTCTTTCACATGACTTTCAGCAGTTCTGAGAAAATGTTTTTTTTATTTTTCATTTTCTGTGAAAAAGCTGCTTTCTGTGCCAGAATTGCATCGAAGCAAACTGTAAAGTGCAACATATCTGTGTTCTACATTCACACACTGACCTTCCCTCAATGATAGTGATGACATCGTTCATATTGATCRGCAGCTTGTCTTCCTCCTCAAAGTCCTGCAGGGCTCTCATGTCTGTAGGCATGGTCTGAAACACAAACACACTCTGTTATTATTGCCATCAGCAGGAGCAGAAGTACTTTTCAAACAGAGCAAGTCGTCCACTGCAATGCGGTTTTAGTACCTGCTCAAAGGAAAACCTTAAACTTTGAAAAGTAGCTTGCTTACAGCATTTCGTTATTTATCAGACACTAATTTACAGAATAACAGGAAGCTGGAATCTACAAAAGCTACAAGTTTCAGTCATTGTATTTATTTGCAGTGTCCTGACTTGTTATCCTGTATTAATTGATGACGAGCTGACAAGGAGACCTCACATTGATTATTTAAAAACAAAAAATATCTAAATCTTTTGGGGTACTATAA